TTAGAACCCGTATTCGTCGGCCTCCCGGCCCGGTCGGGTTTATAATAGGACTCCCAATATCGTCCGAACTTCCTAGTTCTAGTAATAAAATTAATAAGAATTGTAGGCGTTTTTTTAATATAATTTACTATCTCTATTTAAAGTCCTAGGGAGTTTATAGGGAGAATAATTTATTATAATTACTCCTAAATAGTAAATTATAATAGATTATTTAAGTATAGAGAGATTAGACTAAACGGTAAAGTACCCGGAATAGCCTTATTCAGTAATTATTTTCGGGAATTAAAGGTCGAAGGAAATACCTCTATCCTCGCAATATAATTTCCTATTTTTATTTAACGTCTAGGGGAAGTGAAGTTATTTTTATTTATTATATCGTTTTATAAATTACTAGTTCGGCGATATTTAGGAAGAAAAATATAGTAGTTGGCGCTTAGTACGACTTTTAAGGACGGTAGTAGCTTAATAGGGAAATATTTAGCGTTATATCTATTAGAGAATATAATTCTCCTATTGATCTACAAAATTAATAATTTGTAGCGTTTTAGCTATAGTAAGCCTAAAATCGTTAGGTAGGCTAGCAAAAGATTATGTACTAAAAAAATAATGTTTTCTATATAATACCCGATAAGGAGGTTCGTAGTTAGTCCTTTAATAATAAGACCCTTTATAATACCGTCGGCTAATATAAATTTCTTTAGTCGGGTAAATTTAAACGTAGTAAGGCTATTATACTTTACAAAAATGCAATCTAAGAAAGCTAGGGCTAAATAACCGCTATCTATAAGTTAAATATATAGTATCTTACGCAATCTAAATAAGAGATAAAAAGAAAAGAGTATTGAATTTTAATTAAAACTATCTAGCGAATTAATAATAATTATTTCGAGTATTTCGTTAGTATCCCGAAGCTTCTCCTATATAGATCTTTATTGCTTCTATAGGCGACTATCTATAAAATTTAACTATTTCCTTAACTATTAATATTGGGTATATTATATTCGTTTTCTTTACCCTCGCCTCCCTTAGCGCTAGCGGTACGGAAATTGGTATTATTGTATCCCTACTAACTAAGGGAAGGTCGGCTAGTATTAGAGTAGGTATTATTGTAACGGTGACAGCACGGTTAATACGGGTGCTGGTCGTATAGCTTAATTAAGGTTCTATAAAGGAGGAAAAGTCTATTTAAAATACAGATCCACCAGCGCTAAGAGGTTTTCATCGGAATTACGCGCTCTATACTACTATAACTAACGATAACTCTAATTTTAAAGATTAGAATTTATAACTTAGGCGCTAGCCCTATAATATTACCCCCCTCCTTCCCCCCCCTCTCTGCCCCTCTCCTACCTACCCTTATAATCGGTCTCCAACGCATTTACAACTTCTATTTCAATTGTAAATTCATTTCCTATATTACTAATTAACGTACTCGTACCTTCTATTTAGTATAATAATTATTATATTAAATAGCAATTAGTAGTAAATAGTAATAGGTAATAAGTAATAATTTTAACGTTCGTACTCTTTAAATCTATATATATAATCCCCTTTCCCTTCGCTTTTTTAAACCTCTCCCTCTTCCCTTTTTTTCTCTAGCGGCGGTTTAATCTCCTAAGGTAAATAATATTATCCTCCTCTCTACTTAATATTAACCCGTCTCTCCCAACCCTCCTAATACTTTTAAATACCCTTTTTTATACTATCCCCCCCTACTAATTCAGCTTTACTCTTAAATTCTAGCCCCTAGATTCTTCGTCCTATTAGAAATAGCCTATTACCCCCTACTTCTATTTACCCTAGCGCTTCGCCCCTTTATACTTTACCCCCCAGCCTTCCCTCCTATAGCTCTTCTCTACTAGCGCTAACCCCCCTAATTCCCCTTCCGTAAACCCTAGTGCGCCCCCTTCTTCCGGCCGCCACCCCTAGCCCCTATTATATAGTTATTACTATTATTATAACCCCCTTAAGTTTACGCTTTAGAAAGAAATACTAACGCAAAGTAAATTTTTTTTTTTTTTTATATATTCCGCTCTCCTAAAGTCTTTCCTCCGACGTTATATTATTACTAACCTTCTTACTATAATCTAATTATAAGGAATCCGCTATACTCTATATTATTTATTTAAATATAAAACGGTTCTACCTTATAGTGCCTAGTTGTACTATATATATTAATTATTATAATAATAGTAAGTAGTATAACCGGGTATTATTTATAATCCTACCTACAATTACTATTTAAGAGGCGGCGTCCGGCGCTACGGTTAAGGCGGTAGTAAGAGAGAACTTAAACTAATATATAAATATCTAAAAGAATATTACCGAATTGTATAAGAAGGGATTTATCGACCGGTATATTACTTTTACCTCTTTCTTCCTATTTCCTTTCCTATTTAGAAACTTTAGTACTAACCTCTCTTTTTTTTATTAACTATAAATATTTATACTATACTAAGGCGGCTTCCCCCTTCCCCCCCTCCCTTCCGTCGGTAGCGCCCCCTCCTTATAAATTATATACGATTTAGAATAGAGTAGCGGCTTTAGAAGTAAAGTTGGATATCATAAAAGCGGGAGATAATTATAAGAAAAAAATTTAAAAGAAATAGAAAAATTTAAAATTAATATCGCTCCCTTCTTCCCTTTTTGTAACCGATGCTATTATTTTTTATATTCTATAATAAAATATTCGGTTAGACCATTGTTAGTAATTATTAGGCCGTATTTAGCTTTAAAATAATTTAATATTATAATATTAATTATTATTTATAAGGGTTCTTAAATCTATTTTACCTATCCTACCTACTTTACTAACGCTTTTCTACGCCCCTTCTTTATTTAATAATATAGGATTTTATTTATAAAGTATTTTTTTTTACTATCGATTATAATAGTTGGAAGTTAGGGGTCGGTAATAATTTACCCTAATAGGGGATTATCCCGAGCGTATTATAAGAAATATATATAAAATTTATCGAAGACCCTAATAGTTAAATTAATAAATTCTATTATATATAGGTTGAGAATTTTGAAAATTATATATTTAGTGTATATTTAATCTAACTTCTTTTTAAGGCGCTCAGTTCTAAAATTCTTAAAATTTAGTTATATTTTATCCCCCTCTTTAAAGACCTTAGCCGGTTACTTCTTTAATTTATAAAGCGCTCCTAATTCTATATTAAAACGGTTATCGTTGCCTAGTAAAGATTTGTAATTTATTATAACTATATAACGAAACCTTTAACTCTCTCCTATAGGTCTATAAATTCGGCTCCTATAGGTTGGATAGTAATTACTATAGGGGACTACGGATAATAGTTATAAGTAGTAAAGAATAGAAATACTCTAATTATAATACTTACTCTATTATTAATTATTAATTATATAGTAGGGTATTAATAATTTTAATTATTCTACGTATAATTTATAAAGATTCTTAAAAATATTTATACTTTTTAATTTACACGCTCTAGCCTACTATTAATTTAGGGGTAAAATACTATATTTAATTGCTATTCTACTCTAAGGAAATTATAGAAGTATTTCTAGAAGTTATTAGTTTAGTTAGAACCTCTATTATTAATAGTAGATTGGAACTAATTATAGTAGCGTATAAAATATTATAGAAAAGTTTTAATAATTACTTTTACTTCTATAGTAAATATAGGTTCTAAAATTACTACTTTATTAAATTAGTCTTTAATAATTATAAGGTTTATATAGCCTCCTAAAGATAGGAGGTTAATAATAAAATTTATTTAAATATCTTTAAAGAACTAATTTAGGATCGGTAGTAGTCTAAATAGCCTTCTCTTCTATTTTCTCTAATACTTTACCCTCCGGTAAATATTATAATTCGCTATAAACCGATAAATATAAGTACTTATTAGTAACTAATAGAAATCTCTACTAACGGTATATATTAATCCTTCTCTCTCTAAGTAATTAAAAGTAATTAAATTGTATATCCCTTAAATAAAGTATATATATAGAACGTTCTTCTCTAGATCCTCGGGAGATATATAGAGGGCGGTTACTTCTATAATAACTAAGGCTCCGGAGATTTAAATATAGCTTTAATAATATAACCTTCTTAAACTATTAATTCAATATTCTCCCAATTATACTTTTAAATTTTAGGCTATAATAAGTAAAATTTAATTACCGTTAGTAATTATTTTGAGAATACTCTAATAAATTATATCCTATTAAGTTACCTTCTTATAGAATTACTATAAATCCGGATTTTTAAATACTTTTATACCCTCCTCTACAATTATAGAAGAGGCTACTATACGAATATAGTTTTTAAAAGTCCTTTAAGGGATTAATTATATTTTCTTCGGTTTTATATCCTTTTCGTTAAATTTATTTTAATCCTACTATAATAAAGTAATAAGTACTATAGTAAATTTGATTAGGCAGTATTAAATTTCAAACTTAAATTTTAAGAGAAATTTAACCTAATATACTTAACGCTTAGAGGATTTTTATCTCTCTATAAGATATTCAAAATTCCAATAATTAATTATAATAACGAACTTTTTATAACTTTTAAATTCTACTAACTACTCTTCTAAATATTGAATAATCGCTAATATCTCTTTATTATAGATAGGGTAATTGCACTCTACTAATATAAATTTCTAGGAGTAATATACGATTATAATCTTTTTACTATCCTTCTTTTGTATAAAGACGCCGCCGAACCTATAACTGCTATAATTAGCCTCTAAGAATATAGGTAGATTAGGGTCCTATTAAATTAGGATAGGAATTTCGGTAAATAGTTTCTTCAACCGTAGGAATACGGAATCGTATTTAGTAATCTACTTAAAGGGGGCCCCCTTCCCTATTAATATAATTAACGGTCCTACTATTAAAAAAAAGGTTTTTATAAATATATAATAATAATTCGTAAAGCCTAGGAAATTCTTTACTCCCTTTTATAATATCAGGGCCGTCTAATCTATAATCGCCTTAATCTTCTTAAGGTCTATTTAGATATTTATACTTATAATAACTATAAAACCGAGGTATTTTACGCTTTTAATAGTAAATTTGTACTTCTTAGGGTCTAAATAGAGTTTAGCTACCGCTAACCGCTCTACTACCTTACAGACTTTCACTAGATAGTCCTTCTTCGACCTAAATAAGAAAATTAATATATTATTTATATAGGCTAAGGCGAAATGGTCGAAATAGTTACCAAGAATATTATTAATATACTATTAAAAGGTCGTTAGAATTCTTAATAACCTAAATAATATTATAAACTACTTAAAAAGGCTATATTACGTATAGAAGGCTATCTTCCCTTCCTCTCCGTTAACTATACGAATTTTATAGAATATTTATACTATATTTATTTTAGTAAGCTACTTCGCTTTAACTATAATACGGAAAATTTCTTTAATCAATAGTAAAGGATAGCGGTTAATTCTTATAATAGTATTTAGAGCCCAGTAATTATAATAGAATTGTAATCCTCCGCCTAGCTTTCGAATAAAGAAGATTAGTACTACGGCTAAAGAATTATTAACGCAGATAAATCCCTTATTAAAGAGGTTTTTAAATATCTTTTTAAGTATTAGGAATTCCTCTCTTAATATATTATAAAGTAGTCTATAGGGGAGTAGTATCTCTCTACTATTCTCGTTCTTCTTTACCTCTACTTTATAATTAATACTAGAGTAATATAGGTTTATTTTATTTACTTCCAACTACTTCTATATATAGAATAAATCGTATATATTAATAAGGGTGAACCTCCGCACACCCACCTCAAACCTACATACACCCAAAAAGGCGGGATGTCAGCTGTTATGTTAAAAACGTCATTTTAGCCGTAAAAACCGTGATTTGTAATGTCGTACAATATTCTGACCTAGTAAATCCTATACAGCAAATCTGATAGCGCCAATCTGGTAATACTTTTCATCTAACAACTCAGACAGCTCATTAGAGGAGGCTATTGATAACATCTCAGCCTCCTCTCTTACCTCCTCTCTCGCTATTTGCTCTCTCGCTATCTACTCTCTCGTTATCTACTCTTTCGCCTTCGCTTTCTAGTACCTATCTACCCAGCTCGTTATCTATATTCTTATTGTTAGCTACTTCAATACAATTACGTATCTCGAATATAGTTGGTATGCGACGTGCAAATGGCTGGGGGTGTGAAAAAGCGTAAAAGAAATGACCAAATTAGAGTCGATGTTGCGTGCATTTAAAAGTCGAAATTTTGCGGGTAAGAACGGGATTTACAATGTCAGGTGTCATCAGCTGCACGGTCCCACATTTCTCTGGTTTTTGGGTGTATGTAGGTTTGGGGTGGGTGTGCGGAGGTTTACCCATTAATAAGGATCTTCGTCCTTAATTCTTCATTAATTAGGTCGACTTTGGGTTTAAGAGCCTTTTCTACATTTCGCAAACTAATAGTAAATATTGTTACTTCCGCAGCCTCTCTACCACTTTCTTTCTTAATCCTATTTAATATAGCTACGAAGGTAGTAGTTAAATAGTAAATAGCTTTTTCAATCTCTATAGCGCGAGGGGAAGACCCTTTAAGCGTATATCTTAAATACGGGATCTAATACCCGGCTACCCCGTATTAAAATCTATACTTATGTAGAACTAAATAGGCTTTTATTATAATTAATTACGGTTTTCTCAATATTATAGGGAATTTTAATTTAGGGACTACGTAAGTATAAATAATTAATTTATAATTATAGATATTTATTCTAAAATAGATGATACCCTTAATTTCTACCCCTTCTATTTCGGCGGAAGCGCCTTTAACCTATCTCTAGGGAATTAGGATTACTTGTTGTGGTGTGGAGCGCCCAGATTGCCATTCACTGGCATACCCAAATTGCTTGGTCACATATAGGGCCCATTAGGGCGCCACCACTATGTATTTTAGCCCTCTACAGTTCTTTTCCTTTCTTATTCTTAGTTTAGCACAATCATTACGCTTCTTATACCTACGAGTCCAAGAGGTTATAAACCCTCTATACGCAATATTCTGTATCGCAATACTACGTATAGCTATCTACAAGTATTAGAAATCGATATGATAATAAGCGATACTCTTCGAGCGTAAGTTATATAAGAATAAGAAGATGAGCGACACCGGGCGCAAATCAATAAGAAGACGAGCGATACTATTTGAGCGCGAATTAATCTAAGATTGTAGTATTGTAATATCGAATATATACTATATATAAGTACTATCTACAAGTCCTTTTTTGTTTATAAGTCCTTTTATACGGCAATCTCCTTATTATTAAGCAATAAACCTTTTCAAACTTTAAATAAGAATCTATTAAGCAACAAAATCGATAAAGATCGTAGGCGATTTAAAATACGTTTACCTATATATCGTCCCAATTATAACAAGCAAAAACTCGGATTACTAAAATTTACATTAGAATAATTTCTTCCTTTATAACAATAGATTAAATACTATATCTTTTAACACTGCTACCTTAATTACCCTTAAAGGCAAGTCTAATATCAACGCTTAGGCTCGTACTTTAAAGGTTAAACTTATATTATATAGCCTAAAGACTTATATTACTATTAATATTCCCGAGCCTACTATCGATAATATAATTAAGGTAGAGGATAAGAAAGGCTAGTATTAGTATTATATAAATTAGGTTAAGGCTATAACTATTATTTACTCTACGATTTATAATGAGAAGATTTAGAATACCTTATTTATTAATAGTTAGAACGAGGATAATAACGACCCTAAGTATCTTTTCGATTTTATTAAGAATAGTATTTCTAATATTACTAACGAAGCTAAGAGTAATATTTTTAACGAATACTAAACTATCAAATATACCTCGTTTACTACCTTAGAAGCTTTCCTAATACGCTAGCAAGCTTTGTATAAACGTATAAAGGATATTGGATATAAAATCGATAAGACGGTCGAATTTACCAATCTATTTAATACTATTAAGCATTCATTTCCTACTAAAGTTATACTATAGGCTACGGATATAAATAAGAATAAACTGACTATTATATTATTCTTAGCCCATCTATCTATTTTAATTAATACTTAGAAGAATTATATTAATATAGTCGTAGTAAAGGTTGAAATTAATACTAAGGATACGGTGAAGGATAATAAGACCGGGGACGACGGCCCGAAATTTATTAATTATAATATTCGCTAGAAGAAGATTTTTAAAGGTTTAAAGTACTACGCTTATAATTATTACCGGGTTCCTAATATTCCGGACTATTAATAATACGAGCCCAATAAGGCTTTAAATATTTGGAGGAATAAAATAAAGGTTATAGCTTTTAAGAAGGGTAATAGTAGTATTACGGCGACTATTACTAATAATAATACTAATATCAATAACCTTCCTACTAGCCCTACCGTTAACTCTAACTTATTATTTAGCTTTGGAAGACTATTATTTAATAATAATTAGGAAGAGGATTTTTATTAGAGCTTCTAATAGGTTTAGAACAAACTACTAATATAAATAGCGTTTAATATAATTTTATTAAAGTCTAACAAGCTCCTAAAATAATGTCTATAATACGAAATATAATACTATACAATACTAATTATAATTCTAATTTTTTAACGATATAAAATAATTTATAGAATTATACCTATTACTAAAACCAGTTATACATTAAGTCGGAAGTGGGGAGAGAACCCGATCCTATTATATAGGGGTAATAGAATTGAAATTAACTACGAGATATAAAAAAGATTTTATTATAGAAATCAAAAATACTATACTCTATCCATCAATACTAATCAATCTCATCATAATAATAGAGTTATTAGATAGTAGAATAATCTAATTAATAGAAATCAATATAATTACTTTTAAGAAAAGTAAATATATCGGTAAAAATATATAATATAACTAACTAGGTAGCGAATCTACTAATCCTTCCTACAATACTACCGAAAGACCTCGATAAAAAGTATTAGAAATAGGTACCGAAACTAGCGTTAATAGCGATAATCAATTTTAAAACGATATACCGTAGATTAATATACGCCGGTAAAGAATAAGTTATTAAGGCCTATAAAAATATTAGTATTAAGCTAACTAACGCCGGGAGATCCGACTATAACATTTATCTTCGAAGTAAGTTAATAAATATTATATATAAAGTTTCTAATCTAATAATTACTAAACTATTAGAATTAGTTAAGGTTGATATATAGAATTATAATATAGTAGGCTACTTAAGGATTCACTATATTATATACTTTATATATATAATTTTAGGTTTCTATTAGGTAAAAATAGTAAGGGAAAAGAGTAAAGGATTTATAGCGATTAAAGAATAGAAGAAATAGGTTGAACTCCAAACCGGGCTAAAAGTAAAAGTCCCAAGTTTCGATAGCGGGACAGAATTTAACTTTAGTTCAAAAGATTTCTAAAACGATAAAATTATTATATAAGGAAGAGAGGAAGGTATTAAAATTATAAAAATTCTAGCCTATACCCCTTAGATAAATAGAGCCGTAGAAAAGGTAGGAAGGGTAATAATAAAGAAGACGAGAGCTACTATTATTTAATATTAAATACCTATCGAATTGTAGCCTTTCGTCGTCGATTCTATCATTAAAATTATAAACCTCCTACTAATAAAGGCTAATAACGAATATATTAATCCTTACGAAGTTTTAAGCTAGGCTATAGGTATTCCAAACCCAAAGCCAAATATTAAGTATCTTAGGACATATTATTATATAGTATACTACTATATTAAGAAGTAGAGAAGAGTTTAAAAGGATAAATTTACTGTATATAATAGAAGGGGTTACTTAGTAGGCTATACGGACCTTAATAGAAGGATCTTTTATATTTAGGACCCCGAACTAAAAGAGCTAATTAAAACTAACGCTATAAGGTTTTTAAAACTAGAGAAAGTTCAAACCCTAGAGGAATAAGTAGTAGATTATACGGTAGTATTCTCTAACTAATCTATTTAAAACGTAAATAAAGTATTAAAAAGTAAGAAGAATATATAGGTTATTATTAATAGACTACAACCAATAGAAATATTTGGGGGTTCTAATAAAGAAAAGAGGGAAGAGAAAATAATAATAATAATCTTTTACCCTATACTATAGAACTATAGTGCCTTATTAACATAGGGTTCTTTTCTAGTTCTCTGGAGGGGAAAACCGTACGGCGTTAAGCGCCGCCGGGTAAAAACCTCTAACTTTATTTCGGTTGTAGATCTCTATACTACTCCTATTTTACTTATAATTATAATAATTCTTACCTATTATTATAGCAAACCGATTTCGTCTCTTCCTTCGCTATATTATTCTAATATTAGAATAATAAGGATAATATAAATAGGACTTAGAACGCCGCCTTCTTTCGCCGCTTCTCCGTTTTAATTTCTACTATTCTTTCCTCTACCTTCCTCCTACTTTTCTATTTTATCTTCCTATTTATTTCCCTACTTTTCTACTTCCTTACTCTATTTATAATTACTTCTATCCCGTCCCTTTACTTCCTACTCCTCGGTTCTACTTCTATTTATAATAGCGTAAGGACCTTCTTTTCTATTTATATAATCCTCCTTATAGTACCCCTTCTTAATTTCTTTCTTCATTTTTTCCTATTTTAATTATTATTTAAAATAGTTTCCTCCGGTTATAACCGCCCTAACTTAATTAATTTTACTTCCAATTTAGAAGTCTCTTCCTCCGATCTGTCCCCGGGCCCTACGTCCTCCCTAGGTTTCGTAATTCTAATTTATTTAAAACTTATAATATTTTCCTATATTTTTTATAGTAATCCGGACTTTATAGCCCCTCCTAACTAGTATAGCTATTTCTCTTATTATTTTTAATTTATATATTAACCTATTTAATATTATTTATAAAATCCTTTACTTTTATTATACTTTAAATTTCGCTATAGTTCCGAAGATTAATTAAAAGCCCGCTTCTCCTAACCTTTTTTGTAAAATTATCGCTAGTAAGATTTATTTCGTTTTATTTTCTAATATATTTTATATTCTTCCTTTTCTTATCCTTCTTCTCTAATTAAATTCTATTTTTAATTACCGACTCTTAAAATACAATTTATATTTTTACTACTAATAAATATATATTAAATATTCCTACCGGCCTTTATAATACTTATAACACTATTTAGTCGGTAATTATTATTATAATATTAAATAGCCCGGCTAGATATTATTGAAAATTGGACGCTTTCGTTCGTACTACTAATTATTTTACTAAATATATATATAAACGTTTAATATAAAATAATCTCCCTAATAATTTTAATAATCTTCTCCGTACCCTATATTATAATACTATTATTTTTTAATAA